CCTGCTGAGGATCCTGGAGAACAAGTTGCAAATGTATTTCTGAAACATTCAAACACAAAAAAACTTTGACAATGAAGACTCTGATTTAGACAGTCACAGGATATTCCTCCGGGAGCTTTAGAGAAAGGACAAGTGACCATTAGTAACACTTATGTAGTGGCTACCACTGTCACTAGATAATGTGGATTTGGGGTTTTTTAGAGGCAAACCACCAAACCAAGAGGCTGTTTTAAGCACCTTTTAGAGAAGAACAATTGTTGCCACACAGACATATTAGAGGGCATGGACAGCAAGTCAAGGGATTTTTACAAATGAGGGGTAAGAAGGAACTATTGCGGCAAAAGGTTTCAAATTTCATTTGGATAAAAATGAAATAAGAAATTGTCACAATTGGAGAAGAATAAAACACTCTGATTCATCTCAGTTCTAGCTAATGCTATTAGGGAATGCCTCAACCTTTCAGTGTTAAGAGCCAGGAAAGTAACTTACACTGTGTGTCTTCCCCAGAAACAGCACTAGAAAACAGGGCCCAGTTTTGTAACACATTAACCACCAGTGATGGTATGAGAAGCATGTTGAAGTATGTGGCACATGTATGGGCCCTTCACTGTTGCAGCAAAAGCTATGAAAAATAGCCCCCCCAGAAGTACCAGCTCTAGACTGTCAGCATTTTGTACCAGGGAGAAGCTACTGCTTCAGTTATGCTTATTTTGTACAACCTAATCCTAGAATAACTCTTAAATATTTTCAGAAAATTAAAATAGGTAAGAGAATCGTACAACCTTTAGTCTTCTGTCTTTCCAGGTGTTCTGTGGGTAGGAATGAAGTCTCATTCTGATCTTCCTGACCTGTTACTTTTCCCTCTGAAGTTGTTTCAACCTGTTTAAACACAGGAAGGAGGGGAGAAATTTAAATTTCAACACAGTTTATAAATACACATTAGTCTTTGATCTTTCAGTTAACCTTCAAAAAAACCCCAATTAGCAACTTTTAAATTGCTCCAATTGACTCCTACTTCCTCACAGGATTCCACAGTCATCCCTTGTCTATCCATCAGTTGAGAGAACCACTAAAAGCCTTTCTCAAGTAATACATTTCATTTGGTTTCGGTTCATCAACATGTGAAACTTTCATGAGAAACACATGAAAATATCATACCTGCTGCTTCAGTTCAGAGACCTGCACTGCTGACTGGGATTTCAGCTCCTTCTGAGAGCAGATGAATTCTTCAGACTTCTGTACAAGTCCACCTGATAGAGGAAAAAAGAGGAGTCAAGTTGTGCTCTTGCCTTTTTCTTGCTGAGCTACATCCAGTTTACACATGCCCACAACAGATTATGAGATCCATTATCTCTCAGTCACTGCTTCAGTTCTGGGCCGTAACAGAGCTGGAAGGAAATAAACCTGAGCTAAGATCTTGAGGCAAGATCAATATTGTTAGTTCTGGTACAAGCCTACAGAGAAAGGGGCACAGTTTGCTTTTCTTGGTTGTTTTACTTAGGATTTCAGTAGAAATTCTGACTGAAGAATGTGGCACTTCTAAAAAGAAGTTACATAAGTTGACAGTAAAAATCCAACCAGTTAATAAAACTAATTCCAAACTACATCTGGCTCCAGAACTCCATAAGCCTCAGAAGATGAGATGGGGATGGCACACAAGGAAAGGGCAGTGTATGCTGCTCTACCCTTCTGCTCCTCCTCTTGCAGCTGATGGCCCCTAGAACTAGGGATGGCACTAAATCCCTTCAACTCTGAGCCAGCATCACCACTCCTCTTTCTCTACACAGTTAGGAACTGTCATACCAAGCCACTCTCATGAGCTATTGCAAAAGCAAAGCCAAAGAGAAGGCAATCCAGTGACACTGAGGCTGCTGAGGACCTGCGCCACCACCCTGCCCTGCTGCTCACCCTGAGGGCTGTTCTTCTCCTCCACCTCCAGCCTGTGTTCCTGATCCAGGTCTTTACATTTCTCCTCCAGTTCAGCTTGTGCTCTCCTTGCCTCCTGCAGCTGTTCTGAGAGATACTGCACCTCGTCCTGCAAACGGTGGGACGAGAGTTTCCTCTCAGCTACTTCCAGCTCCATCCTCTCCCTGAGAGCCCGAGACTCTCGTCGCTCTGCATCCAGCACATCCCTCATGGAGCTTAGATCCACTTCCATCTTCTGGCACTGATCTAGGAGTGTCTGTAAAATGATATGGAAATTATCTCTCAAATAGTTCAATACCTTGACAAAGAAAAGAACCTGAGTTATATTTAGAGTTTTCCGTTAAATCCTTTCCAGGTATCTGAGTAGCAGAAAGGAGGAAACAAACATGTCAGAAATCTCAATCTGCTAGAAAGAAACTGCATGACTATTTGCAAATCCCAGGAAAGCAATGCTGGGAGAAAAAACTTCCCATCGTTTTGGTAAAGAGATGATAAGTCTTGATATAGAGGAGAGGAATTTAGAGGAAAGAAACAAAGCACAGTGGCCATGAGCTCTCTTTGAGAAGAAAGCAAACTTCCCAAAAAGGGGAGGAAGGGCTACAACAGAAGAGGGAGCATTCAACAGTTAGAGAGTACAGTAAAACAACAAACCAGGACAGAAGTGTGTGTGTCAGTGCTGAAATGTGAACCTGGAGAGAACAGAGGGCTCCACACACTGCCCACTGGTTTAAGAAAGATCTCAGATGGCTGGTGGACACTGATGACCAAGAAAAGGAAACAGACCCTACACTTGCCCAAATTCCTTGTGTCAAACTTCCACCTCCTGGTGCTGTGGACAGTCAGCACAGCTGATTTCAGGAGGAGCCTGATGAGGAGCTCATTTTACTTTATGGGTAGGAAGAGAAGCTTCAGCCACTTGGGCTCAAGTCTGGATGTGTACCAGGGTCTCCTTCTGATCATAGAATGTGAGGGAAGTCAAAGACAGTGAGGAGGAGTCAGGGGGCCCCAACAACCATGTCATGAAGATATCCATACCACCACCCCAAGAAACACTATCCTGAGCAATGCAACCAGCAGTCACTACATGTCAGCTCACTGAGGTTCTTCACCCCTTCCTGGTGGTCAGAGATCCCACACTGTGCCTGGCTGGGACACACAGGAAAGGAAAATACATGAGGCATAAGCGTGGAAAAATGTTCAGTGAGGTTCAGCACCAGCCTGGCTGGAGATGGTGCAGCCTGTGAACATGATTCTGTTCAGTGTGAGTCTCTTCTCCAGGGATGGAGATTTATTTTTAGAAGTTCAGATACTGGAAAAAAACTAAAACCACACTCATCCTCCATCTGCAACAAACCTTTTATGAGGTTCTGTATTAAACTCTGTATCTAGGGCACATGTATACAGAGTTGCATGTGCACAGACTTGATCTCATTCCCTCCACGTTCCAAAATGATGAAGTCAGAGCCAAAACCACTCCATAAGTTGTGCCACCATATAAGCAAGTTCTCAGCAAGACGTACCAAAGAATATCTGTCACTGCTCTGATCTAGCTTGGATACTGTAGTCCAGAAACTCTGAGGCTACAGCAGCTCTTCTGCCTTTGACAAAGCTCTGGGTATGTGGTGGCTTTGAAAGCACAGTGAGCAGTGTGGGTCTGGACAGATGCAGTCCCTGCCCAGAACCTGGGGGGTCACTAGAGGTGGCAGCTGCAGCACCTTGTTGTGTGGCTGGATCTGCTCTAAGCTGTGCACACAGACCTGCAGCTCCAACCCCTGACCTGAGGGAGGCCCCAGATCATTTCCTGAGGAATCCTGGCGCCAGAGAAGAGCTAATCTGCTAATTTCCGAGCTGCTGACAGAGGCTCTATCCACATCCACACACACGAGGGCAAACCAATGAAAAGCACAAGCAGGTACCTGG